TTTAGCCTTGGATGGGACTTACCACCCAATTGGGGCTGCATTCCCAAGCAACCCGACTCTTGGACAACACCTCGTTGCGCAGCAGGGTCGGACGGTCGACGGGGCTGTCACGCTCTTCAGCGTCCCCTTCTAGGGAACCCGCACATGGCCCGCTGCAAAGGTTGCCTCTCAAGACTACAATTCAAGGAGCAACACAACCCCCAGATTTTCAGTCTGGGCTATTCCCGGTTGGCTCGCCACAACCAAGGGAATCCTCGTTGGTTTCTCTTCCTCCGCTTAGTAATATGCTTAAATAGGGCGGGTGCTCCCACCAGACCTGAGATCAAAAGGCAAGGCCCGACGTACCTCCACAGCTCGAGGCCGACACCCCCAACCACAAGCCCACCTCAAGCTAATGGGAGTGAATGGAAGGCGGCGACCACACAAACCGGAGGGACGACCTTACGTGCCGTTTTCAGGGAAACGAAGACGACCACCCACAAACGGGTGCTGGAGGGCAACAACAGGGCGGAGCGAAACGCACCACTCTGGGCTGCGGCCCCCACAGGCCCGCTCGGGATGCTCTTCAATTCCCTTCCACTTTAGGCTATCGACGCTTTCCAAGTGGGAAGCGAGGGAAGCCACGACCACGGACCCCACCACTCTCCGAAACGGAAGGTGCTGAGGTCGTGAGGAATCCAATGATGCTCAGGCGGGCGTGCCCTCGGCAGAAGCCTTGGGCGCCACGTGCGTTNCGGAAGGTGCTGAGGTCGTGAGGAATCCAATGATGCTCAGGCGGGCGTGCCCTCGGCAGAAGCCTTGGGCGCCACGTGCGTTCAAGGTATCGATGRCTCACGGATTTCTGCAATTCACATTCAGTATCGCATTTCGCTGCGCTCTTCACCGTTGCGAGGGCCAAGATATTCGTTTGCCGAGAGTTCTACAATATGGTGCCGTTCCGACAGGACCGACCCCTCGACCAGATCAGAAGGGGGCCGTCAACCCGGGCAGCGACAAATCAGAACAGGTACATCAATAAGAAGTTGCAAAGCCGTCGCCACCAGCCCCTGACACGGGCCCGCCCGACCCCCCGTTCAGGGGGCCAGGCAGGGCACGAAGGAGCAGCGGGGCAACGAGGGTGCAAGCGCTGTCTCCTCCCCCCCCCCAAACCCGACACCACCCCATTCACGACCAAAACCCTCCCCCAACGGCCTTCCACCCCGAGATTCAGACCACCTCGACTGTGTCGAGGACGACGATCTGTCCGAAAGGAGAACCCCGTTAGGAAGGAAGGCATGACAAAACGGGGAGGGGCAGAGGACCCCGAAAGATACCCCGCCCCTAGCCTGTACCACGACCCTCGATCCCCAAACAAGCCACAAGCTCCTCACGAAGCCGAGGTCGAGGCCGGGATGGAAAGGAGGTCTGGACAAAGCTGAGACGGGAAGGAGCGCGGGTACGCAGGCCGAGGACAGCCGCCACCACCCGACATCCCGCCTCTGACCCTCCCGCAGGACTGTCTGTGCCCGGATCAACTGCCATCCCGACCAGAAGTCGAGAGTGGGGCTGGGCCGAGGTAACAACCTGCGGAGGTGAGACGTGATGAAGAAGGAGCAACGCCACAAGGCCCCGGACCCTGCCCGCTCCCCCCACCCTCGGCCTACACCACTCGCTCCTCTGCGCCGGGCCAGCCGCCAGCTGGGCACTAAGCCCAAGATGGTGCTGAAACGGAAGAGAAAAGCGGATGCAGGGAGGATGGGGGCAAAGGGCGGCGGAAGGGCGAGCAAGCCAGCGTCCCACACCCCGAAGATCGGCCATTCACGTATCAATGATCCTTCCGCAGGTTCACCTACGGAAACCTTGTTACGACTTCTCCTTCCTCTAAATGATAAGGTTCAATGAACTTCTCACAGCACCCCCAGCGGCAAACCGCCAAGATCACCACAATCCAGACACTTCACCGGACCATTCAATCGGTAGGAGCAACGGGCGGTGTGTACAAAGGGCAGGGACGTAATCAGCGCGAGCTGATGACTCGCGCTTACTAGGCATTCCTCGTTCAAGATCGATAATTACAACAATATATCCCCGTCACGATGAACCTTAAGAAGGTTACCCGGGCCTTTYGACCCAGGCAAGCGACTCGTTGGATTCATCAGTGAAGCGCGCGTGCGGCCCAGAACATCCAAGGGCATCACATACCTGTTATTGCCTCAAACTTTCGTTGGCTAGTCGTCCAGCAGTCCCTCTAAGAAGCTGGCCACGAGGAAAGGTCCCCGCGTAGCTATTTAGCAGGCTGAGGTCTTGTTCGTTAACGGAATTAACCTGACAAATCACTCCACCAACTAAGAACGACCATGCGCCACCACCCATAGAATCAAGAAAGAACTCTCAATCTGTCAATCCTTGCTATGTCTGGACCTGGTGAGTTTCCCCGTGTTGAGTCAAATTAAGCCGCAGGCTCCACGCCTGGTGGTGCCCTTCCGTCAATTCCTTTAAGTTTCAGCCTTGCGACCATACT